TCGGGGGCCCTGACTCTCGGCCTTTTTTGGAGGCGGTGGGATGCGGGCAGGAAACAGGGGGCGTGGCCAAAGGGTCTGGCTGGTGGCTGAGGGTCTGAAGCAGCCCGGCTAAATGGGCCAACATTTAAATGCAACAATTGTCATTAAATTTTCATCGGACGCAGGCAAAAAGCTTGTGTAATGATAAGCTTAAAGCAGGCGCAAATTCTTGTTAGGTCAAGTTTAAGAGTATTAAAATAGGTTAAATTTCAAAGGGAATGTGTGTTAAAATTTAGCTTAAATTGAGTAAAACTAGCATATAACTATAATTCAAAAGCATATTTAATAGCCCAGTAAAAATAATCTTAAATCAACCTTAAATATAATATTAATGGTATTATCGAAATAAGAATTCAAATTATGTCATGTAATTTTTAAATTTATAAATTTATTATGGAACAAGTAATTTAATACATGCACCATAAAATATTTGAGTTATTCCACTTAATTAAATAAATAAAAATGAAATATTAGATTCTCTAATGTTGCCACAATCACTTGCCGAAGATTTCTTGGGGGCCCTTAATCAGCTCAACATATTTGCCCAACAGATTTTAAAATATGATTCATACAATTTATGTGAGTTGGAAATTCCTCAACCAATTCAAGAAGTTCTATGACATCTGCTGGGGCGGTACTTTAGCGATCTGTTGCGATGGAACATGAACATGTGGCTGCCACGAGTCAAGTCTATATGCCCCGTCTCCCCAAATCTTTAGTGCTGCTTTATTTTATGAATTCCATTTTCATTAGGAGAGAATGCAGCGCCACATAAATTTGCCATTAAGTATTCGAAACGATGATGGTTCGCTGGGCGGCGGTGTGGGCGTGTTAATTGCCAATGCCAGCCGCAAAAGTTGAGTTATGAGCCCAAAGTTTGTTTGTCGCGTGGAAAAAATCGATGGAGGCACTTTAAAATGGGCGCCAAACAGGGACAGGAACAGCACTGCCACTCGATATGTATCCCACAGATACATTTTGCAGTGCTCCCTCCCGCACAAACAAACTGAGTGTGTATTTACCTAAGCGAAAAGTCGCCCCAGGAGGCGGGGATTGGTGGGAAGTCCTGTCCAACAGAGGACTGTATCCTTTTCGCTCTCCCAGCCACTCGCTCTTTGCACTACAATTTCTTAGTTTAGTTTTCCCTGCGATATAGATTTTATGCCGCCCCACAAGGAATTCTTTTGCTTCGTTTAAGTGTGTAAATGTTTTCTCTCGCTCGAAAGAAGTAAATTTCTTTTGGCTCGGCTCCTTTTTGCCAGCCGGGAATTTGTTTATTTGTGTGAGTTTATCTGTGCGAGGCTGTTGACATTGGTTTCCAGTTTACAAAGAAATCGATTAAACGCAATCGGGTAAATGGCCCAAAGTGCCGGAGCCAAAAGCCCGCCACCGCCCACAATCAGCCCGAGACAAGGTCAACTCTTAAATGCCTTGCCAGTTTTTGGGTTTTGTCTCTGTGTTTTTCAGGAAAATTAAATTCTTCGCACTGGTAAATTGAGAAAGCAAGGGGCTGTGTGAAAGGTTATGTATTTTCTACAAAAAAAAAACAAGGCTGTTAAAAATAAACAAAAATAGAAAGCACTTGGAAGCAGGGACTCCAAAAATATATACTTTCTGTGAGCCAAAGACAACTAAAATCATAGGAAATGCTAGAAATAAGAGTTAACGCCAATTGATCAGAAAACAGAATTCTAATTTAAAGAAAACTTGCAATGTTATGTAAACTTAAGTTAAGAAAAACTATTAAAAACGTCAAAGAGGCAACAAAAATGTACCAAATACAATATCTCTTGCAAGTAAGATTAAATAGATGTAGACAAAGATATAAATTACAATAAATAAATTAAATTATTTTCCATAGAATTTAACATGACAGAATAAAATAATAGAACATTTTTTTTTTAAATGTTCAAACCAAATTCAAATTTAAAGGAAACCCAAACCTAAAGTATGTATCGATTCCTCTTAAAGTGTCATCGTTAACATCAATCACTAGAAACATATCAAAAACCCATTCAACCCACACGCAGACAAAAAGAACCTTCGGCACTGGTAAGTACTTAAATTTACGGCAAATGAGAAAAATAAAAATACTCAACTTTTCCAGCTTTAATTTCAATTTCAATTTATTTTATTTCATTTCCCGCCACACGTGATATATAATATATTGAAGGCCCAGACGAACGATCTTGATCAAGCGAGCGACGTGCATTTCACATTTTATTGATGTTGAAGATGGGGACGAAGGTTTGGAATTAGAACTCAACTTAGGGCTGAGTGCTTAATGAGTCAGGCAATTAGACGTGACCAAAAAATATTTATCTATTTACTTGTATTTATGGCTTTAGTCTGTGTTGATTTGTTTGAGATCAAAAACATCAAGGAATATTTTGTATGGTACTGGCGTATTTAATATTATAGCATAAAGTTTCACATACTAAATAACATAAATTCAGTATTCTCCACAACTTTGCTTCAAAATAAAATATTATTTTTTCGAAATTAACGAAACCCGCTCTATTCTCAGATCCCACCGACATCATTTCCCATAACCTTTCCTAACCTTCTCACGTTTTCTTATCACAAATGGGAGGAAAAAATGAGGGAAACCGAAAATTTTAAAAGATGTTCCGCAGGTTCCTTGAGGTTTCGATCTTGAGGTTAGGGTCAAGCGAAGATTTGTCGCATTTGCTGCTCAAAATGTGTAGTAATAATTTATTCCGAAATTTAATTATGTACTGGTCGGGAAAATTCTTTGATTTGTTCTCCTCTCTCTCTGTCTAAATCTTTCTATTACTTTTTTTTTAACCCAAACTTTTCTGTTTTCAGTAACGATTTTTATGATTGTGGAGACAAATCGGCGTCATCAAAAATTGTTGGTTGGGAAAACAAGTTTTGAAATGATTAGCATAGAAATGCCACTTGCTGTCTCGCTCCGTTGCAGTTGTCGGAGTGAGAGGGAAGAAGGTACACCGCCATGATTATTAAAAAAGAAAAGATCTTTGAAGTGAAGATCGAATGGGTTACGGGTTCGGTTTCGTTTTTTCCTGGGGTATTCCATTGTGATAGATGATATAGGTGTGTGTGGGGGTCGACTTCTTAGACTTTGTGTCTGTGGATTGATGCTTCCATGTTTTTCCTATTTGTTGTCTTTCATTCTATATATATTTCTAAAAAATGAATTTTAAATGGTTTGGTATTATTAGTCCCATGTACAGACTGGTAATGTGCCAAAGGCAATAAAAGGGATAAGGGAGAGGGTTAGTTATTATTTGATATCATCATTTACGTGTGTATAGGTGGGCAGGACCTGAATTTTTGAATAGGGATGTTCACGGGGGTTGGCAAAAAAAAAGGATGCAACACTGTTTACTTTGCGTGTGTTCTTTGTTTGATAATTTCATTCGGTTTCGTTTTCATTTTTCAATTCATTTTTATATCAACCATTTTGAAATTTTGTTGCCACTGAATTGTTTTTTAGTAAATCATAAGTGCCAGCTGCTACCCCTTCCACGGTGAATATTTAGGGTTGCCGTGTAGATATCATGCAGATTTCCAGATACATATGGTATATGCATGCAGTACGTGATGCACTCAATCGAAATAAACCGAACAGAAATCAAATCAAATCCAATCGAAACGAATTGAATTGAATGAAATGTACAGTAATCGTGGGACAATCGCATATGCATAATTCATGCGAACCTATGGATGATTTTTAGAGCGTTTGGCATTGTTGGTCTTTCACATTCTCTTTATAAATAAAAAAAAGTAAAAATGGTTAATAGTTTTTCAGGGCACAGGGCTTAACTAAACAGGAATAATTTGTACTCTTTTAAATATTATGGGAAAGAACTAATTTTTGATTTGATTTAGAGATTTTGAAAACTTTTAAGCTCACAACATAATCATTTCACATTAGATAAATATAATGGGCAAGTCCTTTGTGAACTAAACAACAAGTTTTGAAAACGTTTTTTACTGCTCCAAAAACCTTCTTTGTTTTATTCGGACAATATTATGAATTCTTTCGATTTTTATAAAATAATGCTTAAATACATATCTTGTTCTTTGTTTTAATAAAAAGGTTTTTTTAACATTTAAAAAATCTTTCAATTAACAAAAATGGCCTAGAGAGTGTTAAATAATTAATTTATAGTATATACAAAAACTAATTGAAAACTATAAAGTATTAAAATGTTATTTCTTAGGTTCAGCATAAATTGCATTTACAACTCGAATTTTCCCAGCGTTTTTCCCGAGTCAATGAAATCAGCTGCCATTTGAAATTCCCGTCGGCAAATCGGTGGCCAATCCGAAATTCCTGCTGCGAAAAAGGACAATCAACGGCCAAGATGCCGACGAGGAGGAGGAGGAAGTAGAAGAAGAAGAAGAAGGAGCAACTGACATAAGGGAAATATGGATAAATAAAGGGAGCCAGCACATAAAGGAAAAATATGATTGGGATGCCGAGCCAACGAGGAGTCTCAAAAAAATAAGGGCCTGCGTCGACGTCGACGTCGCCGTTGCTCCGCCTAAAGTTGTCATAATTTGCTGTATGTGTATATGTTTGGATTTTTATTTATTTGCCGATCCGCTGCGCACGTTCATAAAAAACGAAGACGTTTCGTTGGATTACTTTATATTTTATTTTTTTCCCCCATTTTTCTCGTCTCTCGCGAGTGAGAGAGAGCGGCTAGAGGAGCACAGCTATAGGGGTTATTTCGATTAACAGACGGTGTTAACGGTGGCCTAACATTCGAACTGCAGTCTTATACGCCATTTCCCCAGCTGTTGGCGCAATAACAGTGACAGAGCCCCAGAGAGTGAGAGACAGGGAGAGAGCGAGAGAGAGGGAGAGAAAGAGAGAGCAGAAGAGAGGGCGGCAGAGAAGCTTTCGCTGCTGCGAATTTTGGCGGCCACGCTGCCGGGGCAACTCCTGTTTTTCTTCCACAGAACCGTCGACGTCGCAACTTGCCGCCATTTACTCTCCGTCCGCGCGGGGGCGCCACTCGCACTCGCACTCGCTTTGCAGCAAAAAGGACATTCCGCCGTCGCTTCGTGGCTCTGCTCACTCGGTTTTGGTTTTGGTTTCTGTTCCTGTTTCGGTTTCGGTTTCGGATTCGGACTCGTTTCAGCCCGAGATTCGATTCGAGATTCCGATTCCCGATTCCGATTTCGATGCTTGGCCCATAGTTTCAGTCGGAAAGCCAAAAAGCAGCCTGCCAGTCGAGAGCGCCTTTCCCAGAACCCAGAGCCCAGTACCCAGTACTCAGTACCCAGAGTATCCAGAAAACAGAAAACAGAACTTCAGAGCCCTGAAGATTGGCACTTCCTGGCGTTCGGCGTTCGGCGTTTAACGTTCAACGGTACCGCAGTGCGTTTTTATTACCGCCGTCGCCTTCGCTGCCTACGCATATACACATATATATATAGATATTTGCCAAACATATATATGTGTATGCGCACACGGACACGCAGTGGTGTGCGTGCGGGGGGGCGGGGGCATGCGTGAGTGTGTGTGTGCGTGGGCTGAGCGGTCGCGCGTGTTTAATTAATCATAAAATCCACGACAGAAACCGCAAAACTAAAAAGTAACTCGCCAAAAACAACACAGAAATAAAAACACTAAAACGAAAAAAAAAACACCGCCGAAATAAAGAAAGAGAGGGCACGAGACAGCGGGAGGGGTCGTCGAGAGGGGGGGAATAATGTGCAATAAACTCGATTCGGGACCCAAGTAACTCCAGTGCGATATCCAATACTCTGCTTTGCCGTCGGCATCCGTGAGATACTTTACCCCAAAAAAAATGCCGACGAAAGGATAGTTAAATCAAAAGCTGCCCCAAGGAGCAAGGCGCGCCCAAAACAGGTGAGTTCCAAATTATTATTAACTTTTAATTTAATAATATATAATTTTAAATTTTTATTCGCTTAACTCTTACTCTACCACCGGCTAAAACCTATCTAATTTTTTGTGAATAAATACTTTTAAATTTAAATACATTTAGTGCAATTAAATACTAAATAGTAATAGCAATAAGCGGAAAAGTGTAATTTTAATAGTCCCACCTTTAATAGTTTCATTACATTGAATTATACAGACCTTAAAGTTTTGAAACAGAATATAACATAAAGAAAATAAACACAGCATTTTAAAGATTAATGACTTCGTGCTTCATCGATAATTTTACGCTTTTATTTGCCCATATTTAAGTAAAAGAATCTATCTGGCTGCTAAAATTGATACACTAATGCAATTTAAAAACAAATTAGTACAACAAATCCAGCAATATCTTTAAATGTAAAATAAGAGTGAAATGAAATATTATTAATATTTGAAATTAGACCAAAATAGGGTTCTCAAACCATTTATAATAATTGGATTTTTGTGATAGCAAGAACAATAAATGGTTAAATAAAACACAACAGTGATTTTGCAGAAAAATAGCACTGCAATCTTGTCTCAACATATATAAATGAAACTGATTCCGTAAGTGTAGAATTAAGGAAAATTTACATTTAAGAAAATAGTCCAAATAGTAAGTTAAACCACAAGTTTCACTCTAAATTTAAGTTATTAAAGTTACAAATCGATTTAAATAAGACAAACATAAACCAGAAAGAACGCCTTAAATAAGTGGTGAATTGCTCCGCAACCGAAAGTAATAAAATTTAAGAGAAATAGTGGGCATTAGGTCTCAAATACTTAATTCTCAGGATTTTGTGACAGTTTCCAACCCCTTAATGTAAGAGAGAAATCAGACTTGGTTTTTCATTTCCCTCAATATATTTATGTTCAGCAGTGTGTAAGGAAACTTTAATTTGATAGAAGCTAAGCATAAAATAAAATGAGATATTTTTCATTGCTGAAAATACCATTTTCAACCTTAAGTATCTTCTTTGCCTTTTTAACTTGCCATATTGAAAATAACAAGATTAAAGTTTAAGAACGTATAGAATCCTTAAGAAGCCTGTGTGAACAACAAGTGTTGCCAAGATATTTTAATTTTAATAGCTGACAAACGACAAATTTGTTATTATTTGTGTTGTTTAATTTGTTTCAAATTTAAGTTTAATATCATTTAGAAGTATCTCTTTATTTACTATTGATTAGTTACAGGCAATGCCAACTTTAAGTGCCTCTTCTTGAGTCTCAAAAAAACCATTACTGGTGAAGCTAAATATCCGTATTTATATTTGTATATATTACTATTATACCATAAAGATATACATATTCTGATGTCTGTTGACTTCCCTTGAGGTACACAAATGCCTTTGCTTCGATATATATACAAGTATACTTTTACCAACACACTTGCCATTGGAGTAACCTACAAATTGGGGAATACATATTGCACAAGATCGAAATTGAGCCTGGGGCCACTTTTCCGTAGTGCACCCCTGACCCGCCCCTTCCCCTTCCCCGCCCCTTTGCCTAAACCCTTGGAGTAGCTAGATTATTTAACTTTGACACTTTATGCGAGGACATGCAACTGCAACGGAGCATCCCGAAAGTTGCATGTTGAGCTTATGTCAAAGTTAACATAAATACAACTACTTTGTGCCCCAAAGGTGGGCACCCGAGTGGCGTGGCGGGGTCAAGGGGTAGGGTCAAGGGGAGGTTCCGACACGAGACGTTCGATGCCGTGTCTTCGATGCGGAGTCTGTGCCCAAGGATATGATGGGGCATGTGGCTGTGTGTGTGTGTGTGTGTGTGGTGTGTGCTTGTTATGCAATGACAACAACATGAGCAAGTCGAACAATATCCGAAGTCAACGCAAAACAGCAACAAGAGCATGTCAAGAAGAAAATTAACATAGAAAATCGAAGGCTATTGGGGGCGGGGAGGTGGGCACAGTGCCCATCTGAGGTTAAACGAAAAGATGACAGGTGTCAAGTCAGTGTGTCAAAGATACAGAGATACATGGGGCCAATGCAGCTGCTGGGCGAACAGTTCAATCAAGTCACAATTGATGCAACGCATGCCCGGCATAAATAATTCACAATCCTGCACTCTGCTGCAAGTCAGATACAAAGATACAAAGATATAAAGACATGTGGACAGAGGCCGAAAGAAATTTTCCCCAATAGCCAACGTGCATTTATTGTTTTATTGTTTTAATTAATTTATGGGTCGCGCGATTTCATTTTAGCGCGCAAAGAGCTTCTATTTTTTCTGTTCCCTCCTCGTTGGCTTGGCAATAAATTCATTTGTAAAAATTCGAAGCGCTTTTCATGCGACCAGGCCAGTCTATCTCTCATTTTTCTCGCCTACCATATGGCTTTGTATATTTGATATAAAATTTATTTTCATTTTAATAATAAATACGACGACAGCAGCAGCGAGGAATACTGAGGCAAACGAGCCAAGTGGCCGCAGGACGGATGAAATATTTATTTTGTGTTATGACAGAAATGTGCGGCCATAGACGCTATATAAAAATGTATCTATCGGATACACCCTTCCCTTCTCACCTTACAGTGCACGGCATATTTTGTATCTTTTGAATGCGAATATTTGGCGAAAATGTTTTTATTATTCGCAGCGTGATTCTGTAATGTGGGCCATTGAAGCTGACACATGCGAATCTATCTATGCATCCACCCGTCTATATATCAATCTATCTCCCCAAAATTTTAGTTTATCGGGTTCTTCAAATATGCAGCTATATCATGCATTTCTGCATTTGTGAATTTCCAATTTAATTCCGCTCGCTAATTCAAAAAACGCATAAATTGCATTTTTATTGCTAATTCGCTGCGCAAGTTTATTAGTTGAATTCCAATCTAACACTGTTAGAACCTGCCCGATTTTGAGTTGCCTTTTTATTGTCTTCTGTCGGGGTAATAAACCAAATTCAATTCATATTCATCAAAACAAATTTGGGCTTGGCTGGCCTGTGCTAAATTACGGAAATGAATCCATTTACTAAATTTGATTTTATTCCGGATCTACATGACTTGTTGCGGAATGACTAATTATAAATGAAATAAACTGGAAAATGTATAGACTCAATTAATACTGTAATTCAATACGATAAAAGCATTTTAATTTAAAACTAATTGATCCCATTAATGAAGTTAATGAAAATACAGAATAATTAAGAATTCGGAAATTTCTATTCGGCTTTAATTGTAGAATCTATTAAGTTAAATTTTATGTATTCAAGAATATATAATCCTAACAATTTAATAAGATCATCAAGCTTGACATTATTTATTGATAATCGACGCTATTAAATTGTATTTGAATTCCTTGTTATTTTTAGAACTTTTGTAACAGTCCAAATACACATATTTTAATATTTTTATTTAATATTTTATTTTATAATTATTTTGTTCCAAAAGCAAATGTATTTATTAATTATCAGTCAGAAATATAAATAGTGTTTGAATGATATTTAGAAACTTTTATAAATGTGTCGCACTTTAAAGTGTTAGTCTTGAGGAAAGTTTCGAATGCCATGGTATTTTTTGGTATGTCATAAATAAATGCCATGCTATTGCTTTTATTTGTTTTTACAACATTCAAAAATATCCAAACAATTGGTAAAGATCTCTTTTGTATATAAAATTGGCTTGTCTGACTTCCTGTAAAAATACGACCCAAAAATGGTAACTAAATCCCCTTCGTTGTCTTTTTTAATTGCCAAAAATGAAATCACGAAAGGGCCGAAACAAAAGGTGGCTACTTGAATGCAATTACTTCCTTCGTTTATGAGTAATTAAAACGAAACGAGAGCGAGGTGAGATTGGCAAAATATCAAAAATGGCCATCGATGTGTGTGGGGGCGGTGAGCGGGGGGCGTGGTGGCGGGGGGGATAAACAAGTGTTCAAGCTGATATGCATGTGTGTGTGTGTGTGCGAGTGCCCTGGTACTTTGCATAGATTGTCCACTTTAGATTAAGCCATGAATAATTTATGTGCGTCTCTTATGATTTTAATTGTTTGCAATGGCAGCTTAACAACTCCACCAACCCTGTATTATTCCTTTCAAACAAAAACGAAATGGAAGGAAGAAGAAACGAGACGAGACGAAACGAAACGAGGCGAAAGCGGAGGCAAAAACAGAAAACAAAGTAGCGCCCCAAAAGCAAATGCAAAACAATACAAATTCATCTACAAGCCTCCAGACCGGACTGCCCTGTCTGTGTGTAGTATCTGTGTGAGCCAGAGTATCTCAGTATCCGTATCTGTATCTGTATCTGTATCTGGCATTGCCTCCAAGTTTTACCTCTTCCCAGGCCGCATTCATTCATTTCAGACCCTTTGACTGCCACCCAGACATTTGCATTTCCCACACACAGATACACTTTCGCAGAGGTGTGTGTGTGTGTGTGTGGCGCTTAACCCCCCGCCGGCTCAACTGGTTGAACCGTCGTTGACCGTCGACGCCGCCGTCGTCTGGCAGCGTTCCATTTCGCTTCTTTCTCAAAAATTATATGAAAATTATACCAATTCAACTCATAAAATTTTTCCAGCTTAATAAATTTGCAGACATTTTGTAAGGGACCCCTGGGCACTGGGAACTTGACTTCGTTGTCGTCATTGGCTGCCCCTTTGCCACGAATGTAAATGGTTTCGTTTGAGAACCGGGGCTTTTTCATGCAAAATGGTCAATGGTGTAGTGGCTTTAAACGCAATCCCCCTCACCCTCCAACCCTCCCCACTCCACACCATACATAAATATATACGAACATCGGGGGAGCGTTAACCAGACGCAGTTGCCTTGCTTAAGCGAAGCTCATAAATTTGCCCCAAACAATTTCCCACTTTTTTTTTCGGTTGTGCCTCTTCAACCGCTTTTATTTCCCATATTTTCTTTGGCTTTTTTGGTAAGTCAATTCAGTAGGAGGACAAAAAAAAGCGTGGGGTTCACCTTGTTGGAGTTTTTTCTAAAAACTTGGCATATGTCAGGTGAAACTGGAGTGGCTATTTATCACACAATCCTCCGAAATGAATCATGGTTCTAAGGGAAATACCTGAATGCCTGGTTTTCTTTTTAAGAAAATGTAAAACATTCAAAAAGAAATGTTTTAAGAAGGTATCATAATAATTAAATATAATATTTGGGAACAAACTAAGATTTTTTATTTGTAAAAATACCTTTGTGGATTAAAAGGATTAGAAATACAATTGTGAGTTAAGATGACTCTAAAAATCCTTTTAATTCACAATGATATTTTTATAAATATTAGTGTACTGATTTTACACATTTTTTGTTTTTAGTTTTCTAATTAAAACTTATTGCTCTCAATGCAACATAAATAAACTCAATGCATGCACTTATACTTTTAATTTATATACTGGTTGAATGTTGATGTTCTATTAAAATGATGATGCAGGTTTAAAAGCGATATTTACTAAGCAAACTATCAAAATCAAAAAATATCAATATATGAAAGATGTCCGCTTAAATTATTACTAAGAAATAGAAATTGTGCTGTAACTTCCGTCAGGCTGTCAGAATTGGCGCTAGTCGCCCCGAAAATCGGTCCAATTAAGTGATATCCGACGATGGACTGGCAGTCGGGCATAGTCGTGTTCCATCGACGGTTGAAACAACAGACTTCAATCAAGATCTCGCATTCCCATTTCCCTTTCTACCCGCTTGTCTTCCAAAGTGTCTGTTTACGTTGGCTTCGGGTTCATTCATTCGATGGCTTCCAAAACAGAGCATACCAATTGGCCCCGGATATATTGGGCGGTGCCATCAATCAATCAAGCGAATTGCCATGAATTTTGATCAATATCCGCTGAGGAGTGCTGGTCGAGGGGGCAAAACAGCATATATACCCAACCATAATTCACGATTGAGTCGAATGATTGACGCCGTGTTGATTCCGAACTTTACTTTGCAAACGTTGCCTGGGAGATCCCAAAAAAGATTTAGAGTTCCTTTCGAGAGGCTGGGACCACCTGCTGGCAGGAAACTTTGGCCATTCCGATTTTCTCTCGGCTTTTCCGTGGAGTGACAAAGGAAAGCTGAAAGCCTGAAACTTTTTTGATGGAATCCCACCGCAGACTCTTAAAGCTCCTAGAGCAGGAGGTTGCCAAGGCAATTGCGGAAGTTTTATGCTTTTGGCTGTGCGTAAATCGCTCAAGAAATCAGCTCAAGTGGAATAAGTTGTGGCCCGGCTCACTTTAGTTTCGGTTAACACTTTCGCCCAGGCCCAAACTACGATTCTTGGGCCAGCTCCACCTTGATTCACCACCCACCTCCCCCTGCATTAAACAAATTGATTTCCGATGAGCCCATCGGCATTGATAGAAATAGTGGAGTCGATGTGTGTGCGCCGATGATTTCAAGTGCGTCGAATCGATATGGCCACGCATCCGTGTACGGATACTATTGTATCTCTATCTGTATCTGTATCTGAATCTATATGTGCATCTGTGTCTGGCGAGTGTTTACCTTTGCCAATAAATTCTGTTAATTGCCGGGAAATAATCATAAAGCAATCGGCCGTAATGCGGATGGGATACTCGTGCAAGCCTTATTTTCGGGGCTTCGGGGACTCGAATTCGGGGGAATCGAGAATTTGTGGCCCTGTTGAAAGTGTAACTCAGAAACGGTGTGGAATTATGTTGAAATCGATTTGCTCCGGAAATTTATGCGGCGCGTACATCGAGCACTTTAGTTGGGATTGGGCAACCGATGTAGTAGTTCCCCAAGTTGGCCATTCATACAAGTACATATACCATCTCAAGTCCGATAGAATGTATACTAATTCTTGGTCAAGTTCGCTCAGAAATGCTTACCACAATGAAGTTAGTGAGAAGGTGACGTCACTCAGTTAAGCCTTTATGAATGTTTTTCACAACAGGTGACGCTTTTCACTGTAAACCTAGCAGCGACATTAAAATTTCTGGCGCCATCTGCCGAAGGAAAATCTATTTTGATATTTTTCTTAGTTTTAAAAATTTATTTATGTTTCAGTTTGATGGAAGTAGACTAACTATTCCAGCTCAGACTTTCTACTATATCATGACCCTCTTTTGTCGACGGTGAACGGATTATTTTGACAGTGGTTATACAAATCTCGATAGCCGATATCTGCCGGCGTCAGGTAAATTAGATAGAATTGCTCGAGAGATTCGAGGCACAAATGCAATCATCGGGGTAGGCCCAAAGTTATGCTGAGTGATTCCGTGTAATAAATCAATAAATTACCCACTCTTACGCGAATAACTCAGGCAAAGCGCTTTTGGGTTCCTCCAACCCGGTCAGGAGTCCACGCCAACTCCGTAATATCCAAATTCTCACTCCAGCCGCGAATCCAGATCGGGGGCTGATATTAAGTTATACGCGACTAACCATATGCGCCCTGTTCATTTATTCAACGTCTAAAATTGCGACACGCCGCTATTCATATATTCAAAAAAAATTTATCATAAAGTCTGACCGGGCACTTCTTACGTGACGATCCGGCCATATGCATATATCTTTATCTTGGTAAATCACACTGCGCAACTCGCATTTGATGTGGATAATTTTGCCCAATTCTAGCGGGCTAGAAATTGAGGGAACCCACTTGTCTTCAGTTTTTCATCAAAGAGTCCATTTCAAAGTTAATTTGTATATGTATATTCTTTTAAAATATTAAAATTAAAGCCATAATAAACATAATAAACTTATATAAAATATTTATCTATTTGAAATCAAGTATTTTCCACATATTATAATTATATGTATTTTATTTATAATATATCTTTCATATTGGATTTATTTATTTTTACTGTTAAAATGCTTAAATCAGTATATAGTTATGTAAATTGTATGTTTTTGTGAATTGTATTTTTATTTAATAAAAAAACCATCGTTTGGAACTTTTGTTGATTAGTGTTACTAGCAGGAAAAATGGGAAATCGTTTCTTAAAAGATTTTCCCTATATCTTCTCCCCTTTCGTTGCCAGGGTGCAGTCCATGAACAGACTTCAGCGGCAATTGGGATCAGGAGGTGAGCGCTTCCGATCGAGAGGATAATGTGTTCAATATTTCGCAACCGCATCAATTACCGTGGGACTGGCAGCACCAGGAGCGGCAGCGGGGAGCGGGAAAGGGACCGGGATCGGGATAGGGAAAGGGAGCGGGATAGGGACGCCCTGCTGGCCAAGGAACTGGATGCGGACAGCAACAACAATGGCACTGAGCCCCAAATGGAAGCGGTTCCCGAGTCCCACACGGAACGGGAAATGGCCGAGGAGCACGGCAATGGCGATGGCGATGGCGAGGGCGAGGATCAGGAGCCGGAGAACAGCAACGAGGCCTTGGATCTCTCGCTGATCTCGTCCAGCGGTTTGAGGGGATCGCTGCCGGGCAGCGGTCACGTCTCGCTGGAGGCTCTACAACATACCAAAGTGGCGGTGGCCCAGTTCGCGGCCTCGGCAATGGCAGGTGGTAGTGGTGGCCACCAGTCGCCCGACCTGGCCATGGTGCAGTCCACCATCTTCAATGTGCAGCGGCAGCACCTGATGCAGCTGCAGCTCATCCAGCACCTGCAGAGTCAATTGAAAAGGGCCGAGGCAGCCGCCTTGGGCAGACAGACCCACAGCGACGAGGAGGAGGATGAGCCGGAGCCAGAGCCACAGCCGGAGCAGGAGCCCAATAAGCTGCCAGCCAATGGTCTAAAGGAGGAGGAGGATGAGGAGCCGGAGCAGGATCAGGAGCGGCGGCTGGAGGAGAGTTCAAAGACTGAGACAGAGAGGGCAACTGAGGAGAGAAAGGCGGAGCCGGAGGGCTACCAATCCCAACCCATGATGTGCGACATCAGCTCGAGCTTGGCCTCGAGCATCATCACCAACCACGATCCCCCGCCAGCGCCCAACGAGCCCAACTGCCTGGAGATGCTGCAGCGCCGTACGGAGGAGGTGCTCGACTCGGCCTCGCAGAGCCTGCACGCCGCCCAGATGCAGGAGGAGTACTCGGAGTATGCCTCCAAGGAGGCCCAAAGTCGCGGCGAGATCTTCAAGCATCGCTGCAAGTACTGCGGCAAGATCTTCGGCAGCTATTCGGCCCTGCAGATCCACCTGCGCTCGCACACCGGCGAGCGGCCCTTTGTGTGCAACGTATGCGGCAGCAAGTTCACCACGAAGGGCAACCTAAAAGTCCACTACCAACGGCACACGCAGATCTTTCCGCCCATGCTGCTGCCGCCTGGTGTGGCGCCCAACGTGGGGCATTCGGGTCAGGGTCAGGGTCAAGGGCAAGCGCCGGCCGAGCAGTACCCCCTTCGGCTGCCTTTTGTGCCGCCAGTAGCACCAGATCAGCTTCAGCCACAAGTGGAGGAGCCGGAGGAAGTGAGGCAGGAGCTTCCCGCCCAGCAGGCCGAAGATCTCAGTAAGCCGATGGTGAAGGAAAAGGAGAAAGTGAAGGAGAAGGAGAAGTCACACTCCCCCGTGGAGCGTGTCAGGACGCCCAAAGAGGTAAAGCCAGTTGTGGCGGCACTATCCTCACCGGAGAAGCCCGACAAGGAGGTCACCAAGCCGTTGGTGACCCCGTCACGACGAAACGGTTCCGTGCGCAAGCGACAATCGAGCAGTGCTGGAAGTCCGCCTCAGGAGGATCGCGAACGGGATCTCGCCGAGCATCTGCACATAGCCAAGCTGGTGAGACGCTCCTCCGCAAGCAGGGAGTCCCAGCCGGCGGAGTATTCCCTGGCCCAGATGGAGCGCATCATCGACAAGTCGTGGGAGGACCTCATCGAGATCGACAAGACGTCGGAGACGTCGAAGCTGCAGCAGCTGGTGGACAACATCGAGAACAAGCTGACCGATCCCAACCAGTGCATCTTCTGCCAGAAGGTGATGTCCTGTCGCAGCTCCCTGCAGATGCACATCCGGACGCACACCGGCGAGCGTCCCTTTCGCTGCAAGATCTGCGGCCGGGCCTTCGCCACGAAGGGCAACCTGAAGGCGCACATGAGCATACACAAGATTAAGCCGCCGATGCGGAGCCAGTTCAAGTGCCCCGTGTGCCACCAGAAGTTCTCCAACGGCATTATCCTGCAGCAGCACATTCGCATCCACACCATGGACGATGGCAGCGGTGGCCAGGCAGGTGCCGGTGCCGGTGCTGGTGCTGGTGCGCCCAATCCCGGCGAGGCTGAGCGGCTGGGCATCGAGGATCAGAACTCCAACAAATCGATGGGCACTTCGGACACGCTGGACTTCTCCACCACCATTTCGGACCACTCGGGTCAGAGGTCAGAGTCTTCGCAGGGCGGCGACTTCGATGAGTTTATGACCATGGACAGCACTGACGACTCCAGGGATAACTCCAGTGCAGCCACGGCCACACCACATCCACTGGAGAGGGAACGGGACAGGGATAGGGACAGGGAGAAGGAGAGAGTGCGGGAGAGGGAACGCGATCGGGAACGGGAGCGAAGGATGCCAAACGATGGTTCCGACGAGCGGTCCCATTCCAATCCCGATTTGGCTGGAGGACGCAGTGAGAGCGGGGAAATGCCGGCCATGGATCTCTCCTCGCCCTCCTCAGCTTCCGGACGAATCTTCGGATCCGGGCTACCGAATGGCACCGCCTGCGGAGGATCAGCAGGCGGTGGCCTTCCCATGCTCGGCATGCCCATGCCGCCAAATCTTCTACTCATGGCCGCTGCCCGCGAGGAAATGCACGCTCTAGGTCACGCTCATGCCAAATTCCCGCTGCTGCCCTTCGGTCCACTTGGATTTATGGGTGAGTAATACATATCTAATTTATTAATTATTTAAGACTATGATCTAGTTACCTTACGACTATAATAGGGGATCCTCCTTTTGAATTATGAAAGTTAAAAGTCCAAAGCCTAAGACTGGGGACATTTTGCCACACAATTTAAAAATTCAAGTTCACAAGTTATAAAACATTCTGACATTCAGAAGGAACCGATCTTGTAAAGCAACTATAGAAACTGATATGAACTCTCTTACACATGTAGAATATTTCCAAGCTGTGATCAGTTTGTTCAGCCTTTACTAGAAAAAGAATCTATAAAGACCTCAAGTACTTATAAACTTTCTTAAATCAATTCCGCCAATTAGATTCACAACCCCATTGCCTTACAGTTTTATTTAGCCAACATATGCTTTGTCGAGTCCAAAGAGGTATAAATATAAATCCGGCAAACTGCGTCGTGCCATTAACATTAACTTTCTTCTCCATCCGCCGGCGGATGCGAGATGACAAAGCTTCTTTGTCTGCCACCTTTGACCCCGTCAGCGTTTGCCAAGCAGCTCGCAGTGGCAGTGCGATAAATCTGCGATCTGGGCGCGACATAACTCAATTGGAGCGCGACAAAGCATTCGCCAGAGCACTTGGCACCACTCCGGCCAGCTCCAACCCAATCCATGCCCGATATGCCTATGCCAAATTCCGCAATTTATTTATAAACATTGGCGCATTCCCCAATCCGCGGCGCTGGGGCGCAAGCGATCGAGCAGCGATCTGTCGCCTCATTATGTCACAACCTTTTACGCGGACGGATATTTATTGTATCGCGGCGATTGCGGCAGCACGTGGCGGGAATTATGTGTCCCCCCACTGACCTCGCGAGTAACTATTTGTCTGCATCTGGGCATCATTGTGATCCCGATCCCGATCCCAATGACGATCCCGCCCTCATCCGCAGGTCTGCACCCGCCCCCCAATGTGTGCAATCTCTGCTTCAAGATGCTGCCCAGCCTGGCCGCCTTGGAGAGCCATCTGCAGAGCGAACATGCCAAAGAACCGGCGACGGGCCACGCCCACCGCCCCAACTGCACTGACGCTGGATCGCCGTACGGCGCCAAGGTGAGTGATATATATGTTGTAAATTTATTCAAAGCATTTGCAAAGGTCAATTCCATTGACTTGTCGCCGATTTCTCAATGTCCCGTTAAGTTTTGACATTGAGTTATTATTATTTATAAATTTATATAAATTTATTTAAAATGTATCTATCTTTAAACTCATAGCTAGATACAAATTACCTATTAAAGTTTGTCGGCAATGAGAAAATTACAAAGTTCGCGTGTAAAGAATTGTCGTTTAAAATTTAACACCACATTGAGAAAACAAATTTGTGTTTTTAATGAATTTGCTTCTTGTTAACATTCTCTTGCTTATTATTGAGAAATCGGCCAATAGTCAGTGTGATACAACTTAGTTAAATTACTGTTACGGAAATATTTATTTTCCTAATGTGATGTTAGATTTTATATATTTTCAACTTTTTCAATTTATAACTTTAACAAGACATTGAGAAATCAGTTCTAACTTAACGTGATCCTGCTTTCAGAGAGGATACTTTTCCTAGACCAACGAAATATAAATATTCCCTTTAATATAGGAAAGCTTATATTATGACATATATAGCTATTCACGGGTTCATTAAATGAATAAGCCTCACTTAGTTCAAGCACTGAGTTTCCCTTTCCGAAGCAGCACAATAATCACTTCCATAGTTAACTATTGAGCGGCATTCCCTGCCCCAATATGGTGGCACTTACATCACATCCAGCCAGCCTAATCCCACCTCAACTCTCGCTTTGAGAACCAGTGCCATCTGGCAACGAGAGTTGCCTTGGTCATGATTAATTAAAATGTTCACGGGTTCAGTCCGCTCCCGGGGTTGGCTTGATTTGGCCAAATATGGATGGAACACAGCCCGTTTTGGCCGCGACCATACAAATTATGAGCACATTATTAATTGCCCGTCGAGTTCGCCTCGTCTTATTATGAAGAAATTGTGGCCAACTTGCATAGTTTGCCTTAATTGTTGGCGTTCCGCTTTGCGGCCTGCACTCGGCCAAGTTGGAGCTGGAAGCCCAGACTCCAAGTCTCCCAGTCTCCCAGACTCCCAGACTCTAAGTTCATCCACGGAGGAGAGAGAGAGAGCTTTAAGTGCCCCGATTACATCGCCCAACAATGCCAATTATTTATTAAAGTGCGTTCGCTACTGCGGCGAACGGAGTGCTTCTGCTGTGGTTGCCCATAATTTAAGTACAAATGCGAGTATTAATATTTATTTCTGGCCGGGGCACGCAGTGCGGCATTGTCTCTCTATGACTAATGACATCGTTCATTATGGCTTACATTCTTGGAGAATTTCCAAAATTGAAAGCGAACATCTCGGGACAGGACGGAATTTGAGAGCTCTTCGCAGGGGCGGTTCTTATAATTGGGAGTGCAACAAACACTATAGCTTGATATTTATAATTAACAATAAAATTTTGATGGATCATATAGCTTTGCTTCAAAAATGCATAAAAAAATTATAAAAAATGTTCTACATATTTAGATATTAAATTATTATATATTAAATATGTCTATATAATGTCTTAATTTTATTTAGAACCCTTAATTGTTGGTTTAACAGCAATCAATCTGCTTAAGACATCTTAAAAAAAACTTTAAAACAAGGGGTCTAATTATCTTTTGCTGGCTTAAATTTGAAGTATTTAGAAAACGGCTTGAACTTCAATTCAATTGAACATTAGTATCTATATCATATAGATATATATATATACCTTCGAACTGCTTAAGATATGAATCACAAAAATATCTAAAACATGAGTTTCATATTGTCTTTACTCGGCTTGAAATCAAAACACCCAAAAATCGTGTTAAATCTTTGCTTATATTTGTTTGAACCCCAATACTTGTAGAACCGCTCCCTTGTTGCCTTTGTCATTGCGGTCGAAATGGGAGTGCAGTGTAAATGTCATAACATTTTCAGTTGGTAATCAGCAAGTCCCTAGTTTCCCCCTGGCATCGCAAGTGCAGAGACAGACAGATAGCACTTGTGTCCCATCATCTGAGTATTGGACTGGCCACATTTCGTTTTGCTCGCTTAGCACATTGTTGATGATCTAGAAGAAGATGCAGACGAACATCGGATCGGAATGGTTGGGGAGTTGGAGATTGGGCTGGGAATCGGCATCATCTTTTGGGCTTGAAATTTCTAAATGATTCAAAAATCTTAAGTAATTACGAGAATGCATTATGATGATGCGAAATTTACGACTTCGTCTGGTATGTTTTCGCTCTGGATCGGGGCGCAGTCTGTTGCGTTTTTATTTATTTATTTTTTTTTTTTTTTGGGAGGGAAGGGATATATGTGGAAGGAGCCTGTGCCGGATCGGTGACGGTGTGTGCGATGCATTCAATGCAAATAAATTATGCTACGCTTTATGCAAAATTATTTAATCTTTTGTTCGTCGCGTCTGCTGGGGACACCGAGTGGCACCACAAAAGTTTCCGTGCTATCCCTTCATCCCATCTATCCATACATCCATCCATCCATCCATCCAACCATCCATCCATCCATCCCTTTGTACAGATTCCCCCTGTTGGCGAACAATTGTTTAGCCATAAAAATATGAGACCCGGCGGCATCGTCTGCCCGAGATAATTAGTAGGCATTATTACACGCGATGGCATAGAAAAATTGTAAATTATGTTTTTGGCTCGAAAATAAGATTATTAAGAGGCGCGAGTCTGCGGCATGAACAACGGCACATTTAACTGAAAATGCGCAGAAATTAGCGCCCGTCGCGAAAGTATCTCGCCCCATAACTTTCGTATCCCATCGCATTTCAGCTCACTCTCAATCCAAATCTGTTTGCAAAGAAGCCGACGTCGTCGTCGTCATCGGGTGACAAGATGCCGGAGTCCTCCTCTGCCCAGCCCTTTGCCCCCGAAGTTCCCCGGCAACGTCCATCAAAGAGGACCCCGACCAGGAGCCTTTGTCGGTGGAGGAGGCTGGATCGGCTGGAGAAGGATCCGGCACTGGAGCCGGCTCTAATTATACGCCGGAGGCAGGTGATGCTGAGCAGTCACTGATGAAAATGCAGCTCCGTAAGTTACTATGGTCAGCCTAGACTCCGTCTAGAATCCTAAGAGTTTCTCCCATGATCAGATGCCCACCGCTTTCCGGCCAGTCCGCTCGACTTTCAGCAGGCTTTGATGTCCGCAGGACCTCCGACCTCCAGCTTGGATCCTCCGGTGAACAACAAGCACTTTTGCCACGTCTGCCGCAGGAACTTCAGTTCGAGTTCGGCTCTCCAAATCCACATGCGCACCCACACGGGCGACAAGCCCTTCCAGTGCAATGTGTGCCAGAAGGCCTTCACCACCAAGGGGAACCTGAAGGTAGTGCCCGGGCAACTCATCTAGATTCTGGACATTTTACTCATTGAGTGTCCGCCGTTGCTTTTCTTTTCTTTTAATTTTCAGGTGCATATGGGCACACACATGTGGACGAATCCGACTTCGCGGCGAGGGCGTCGTATGTCCCTGGAGCTTCCCATGCGACCAGGTCCGAACTCGGGATCTGGTCATCCCGGATCGAGTGCCGAGCAGGAGTTCATGCAGCGTCGACCGGAGCTCTTCTTTCCCTACCTGCCGCCCTTTTTCAACGGACTGACGCCAAAGGTAAGAACATTTGATATATAATATATATATATATAGTTTTATGGCATTATTTTAAGCATATACGTTAGTAGTTAAGCTATTATTTAGATTTTAACTGACAATTGGCTAAATATTAACTGCAATCAAATCTGAGTCATAATCTAAAACATTTACCTAAAAAGTAATGATAAATATTAAATAAATATTTATTTATTTAAACTGCCACATAGCTAATAGTTAATGCTTAATAGTTACTAAGTCACATCACAAAATAAATATAAACATATAAATATAAACAAATAAACCAACAGTTTAATTATAACTGCCAATAAGTGAATATTAATGCTTGCTTATACTTTTACAATCAATGAGTTAGTTATTTACTTAATACTTAAATATAAACTGGCAGTTAAATATAAACCCATACTTAGGCATTTACTGATATTCAATTTCTTATGACTATTTATCTTTATTTTCTCTGACTTTCCTTCGATTATTAGCCTGGTGAACTGAGTCCCGGCGCCTTTCCCAATATTCCCCCGCCGCCCTTCGCCAACGGCGGGAAGTATCCCTATCCGCCCGGACTGCTGGGATTCCCGGGCTTCCTGGCCCAACATCCCTACGGAATGGAGCGGAGGAGCAGCAGCAAGTCACCCACGCCAGAGCCGGCTCAGAGTCCTTCACTCAGAGAGGACGAGGGATCCGGGAATATCTGGCATCCCCTGAGTCGCATCAAGGTGGAGAGCAATCAAAGCGAGGGAATGGGAATGGGAGCCTTTAACGATCAGGAGGATCAGGTAGAGGCGGAGGCGGAGATCCCTGGCGGGGACAACGAGGAGTCCGAGTCCAGAGATGCGGAGAAGTAGAAGAACTGATGAGATCTTAGTCTTGGAACACACATGGTTTTTGTGGAGTACATATCTTGAGCAATACCCTTACGCTAAGCTTCAACTAGCACTGACACAAACACAAACACAAACACAAACTCAAATTCAAAATCAAACCCAAACACACCCCCAAACCCGCACACATATACGAATATATCCTTTGTGTCTATACATATATATAGTACGGTTAATTGATAGCGATCTTCAAGGCATTTAAATGCATTAAGTTTAGCCGGTAAGTTGTAAAAAATAGCGGATCGATGAACGATGGGGGAATCTCCTCAACCGGATCAGGCAGGCTGCGAGGTCAGAACTTAACTAATTGTATGGCTATACCTAGATATATTTAAATACATATAACGATAAATACACGTAATGTAAACTGTGGTAGTTGCATATAAAAAATTGAAATCGAAAAATCGAAATACCGAGAAAAAACCGCGACAAAAATGATCAAAAATAAAGCCGGCGTGCGAAATTGCAAAGAAAATGTTCTGACGTTTCTCTTCCGGGAAGTGGGCAGCATTCCGTTGGGAATCGGGGATTGGGATCGCATTAGCGATGGATTCAATAAATTCATGCAAATTGGCAGCCTTGGTAAGTGCGCCTCCTCCGATCGTGCCACATGCCACGCGCAGCCCATTCATCATCCCATTCCCCTTGATGACGAAGACGCCCTCGCCTCGAGACATTTACCACCATCCCCACGGTCACTCCCAACATATGTTTTCTTTTTGATTCATTTACCCAGACAAATGTTGGTCCAAGTGTCTCTGTGTCTCTGTGTTTTTGAGTCTCAGAGTCTCGCTAACTTTTAATTATTCTCTTGTCATTTTGGCAGCGCCTCTTCCCGCGACGACAATGCAACAAATAATAATTTCTAGACCGCAACAACTTGATGTCGCCGCGAATTATAAATGTTCGCCAAATATGACAGGCGCTGTCTGCCAAAACAATAGACTCGACCCGATGCTCTCGAACAAAGCATCCCGGGTAAATGGCTCATGTGGGGCACAGGGTGAATTATAAATTCCCCATGAAATAATTGAAAACTAAGAAAGATTTAAGTGCTTAAGGCAACTAAGTTAAGAGATAGGAATTTTCAACAGCATCACAAGCGTTATAATTAATTAAGTAATCGCCTTCGTACAAAAATATAGTAAATTTACTTGTCATTGAAATTTTAAAGACGTATTGGAATTTAGACATACAAGGAATGTCTGACTATATATTTTCAAAAACATCAACACTTTAAATCGTGGTGCATAAATAAGTAATTGGCCAATTCGTCTGCTTGTTTGGAACATTAAAACATAATCGTGTACAGAAGTGTTTGTTATATGGACTGAAATGTAATGATATGTTCACTATTTGTGTTTAGCTGTAAAAAGGTTGTACAAAAATAAAATAATAAAGTACTTTTTTTTCGAACATATAAAGAACACGATGTTTTATACTGCGTGTGTGTGTAAAACATGAAGTGCTTTTGAAAATAAAATACTCAACATTTAATTTTACAAATGTTTAGCACAGGTGGAACAGTATAAAGTGTGTATCGAAAATAATTTGAATATAAAACTTAAGTGTTGCAGTTTGTGTGTGATTTTATGAACACTGCCTTAAAACAAGAGTTACAAAAGCTTGAAGTCAAGTTAGATAATAAACTTAAAGTACAAATTTTAATTTAAGTATTAAACGGAAAAGGTCTCTTGCAGCAATCTTAAAACATATATAAATTTCACAAGCTTTAACTTATAAAAGTCATATTTTGATTGAGAAAACTTGTATCTACACTACCTTTTTAACTGCTTTAAAGTGAAATAAATATAAACATATATGAAAACATTAAAAAAAAAAACTAAAAACTTGCGCCACAAATATTCGATTTTAAATGAGACTCATTTGTGTTATTAATTGAGGATAATAAATAAATTTGAAGGTGCACGCTGCTTCTGGCTTAAGTTTCCCGGGAAACTTGCAATTTTGCTACGACGGTCTCTACGAATGCCAGCCATGAACTTGCACATAAACACCTCCAAAGATCGCAACCCTCTGTTTTGGCATTGCAGCACGAATGTTGCTTTGCTGCTAGCAATTCCATTTCCATTTTCCACAATGTTGCACTTTTCCCGAGAAATTTATCTCATTCTCATTTCATGGGCGCACATATTTCATATGCGGCCGTAAAGTGTCTCAAATGGGAGAAGACGAGGGAGGGTTAGGTTGGATATCCGGGACTATTAACAGCCCCACGGCTGGAGCCATTAACTCTGGACCGCGAAATAGGCGGTGGTGGTGGTGGTGGTGGTGGCCAACGAATCCGGCCTCCTGCATCGAAATGAGCGATGAGAAATTGTGCCATGTCTGGTCTGCGATACGGGCTAGATTTCAAGATCACGCCGATGCGCAGACATCATTTTCATGATCATAATTCGCCCGCCGGCTGGCAGTCGTCGGGCATCTTAATAACCTCATTTCGCTAGCGCTGCTCTATCTCTATCTCTATCCCGGCTCCCATCTTCCCATCTTTGGGCTGCATTATATTTATTTTGCGTGCAATTTGTTTGATCTGTGCGCGTAATTAACTCTGTCTGCATGCGACGCGTCGTCCGAAAACGGTCTATGAATAATAACCCAGCCCCCAACTCCCAGGCACGAATATTTCGCGGGGAATTATGAATTTTCGTTTGATGGCCACCGGGAGCGCGGGACTTGCATACCGTGGCGCACTTTGAAGTGTGTCTAATTGGGCGCCAGTTAAACGAGCTCTAAGGCTCCTACCCGATATCGTAGTTTGGTTGATATGAAAACAAAACTTTGATCGCAAATATCGTATTGTCTTCTTCATAATTATTTTTCTTACCATTATTAATGCATTCCTACTTTAATACACTTAAGCTAGGCTTGTGTTTCTTAAAGCAACATTATTTTTAAATGTGTATTTAAATGCTAAGTCAGCAACCAAAGTGACGGACACCTACAGAAACCTAAATAAATAAATAAAGATTCTTATAAATTCGTAGTTGTGATTACTTATATTTATGCCATTTTAATATGATAGTTTAATAAATATAAATCTTAAAATGAAAACAATTTTTTATCGCCCATCTAAGTATAATGAAAATCTAATGAACCATATTCTCATTTTAAACTATAACATAGATTCGGCAAATATTTATAGTCAGTTCGATGTGTTTATGTCGCATGTTAGCTTTTTGTTACCTTTTATACGACTTGGCAGCTATAGATCACTAATATATTTTGAAAATATTTTTACTGCATTATTTTTGTAGCCTTTAAATATAAGTGTGCATAACTGGGCGCCAATTGCGGAAAGTTGATAGTTGGGCGGGTGAAAAATACCGTTAGTACCTGGAAAAGACACGGCCATCGATACTGCAGTTTTATTGATATGAAAATGGAAATGGGAACGGGAATGGGAACGGGAATGGTCGCTCGTCTCCAGAGAACAAGCGGCCATCGTGTAGCGCGTTTTATGGCACCCACAAATTCCGTGCTAATTGTTGCACCGCGAATCCGAACTGGTTTCCAAGGCACAGCCTTCTGCCTTCTGCTTGATGCCATTGCATCCTCCTCCCTCGAGTAGTTTGCTTCAATTTTGCCTCAATTATTTCGCTTGTTTGTTTATGGAGGAATCTTTAATCTCGGCGCTGGTGTCGCTGCCAGCCTTGACTCCTTGACTTGCCTTGGCTCCTGCTGCCGCTCACATGCGTGGCCAAGATCTAGACAACACCTACGATGGACAGAGGGACTTCCAACCACATCCACATCCACATCCACATCCACAGCCACATCGACATCCACATCCACATCCACTTCCCTTCCCTGTGACTATCTATGATCGTCCATGGCGAGGAGGCGGACGAGGTCGGTGCTGGACAAGTGTTTCGAAAAATGGATTATTCATGTTGTCCTTGCCAGGCATTCATTCGGCGGCTTTTGCTCTGGCTTTTGCCAATCTCGCTGCTGCTGAAGTTGTCGATGTTGCAAGTTGCAAGTTGCAAGTTGCTGGTTGCTCTTGTGCTCCGATCTCTCTGTTGCCGTTGTCATTGTTTTTGAAGTTTCTGTTGTTGTTCTGGATTGAAGATCGGTGACTGGTTGAGGTCTCTTCAAGATGGAGTCGCCGATTGTGGCATGTATCAGATGGGTTTTCTTATAAATACAAACAAATTTGGGAGATTACTAAAAAAAACAATGTTTATTTATAAACAATTCGACTGATAATTTTACGACCTATTTTGGATAGATAAAATTAATATTGAATGTCCATTGAACATTAATGTTCTGCATTTAGCATTAGGATCCTTTCAGATATGTAATCTGATTAAAATAGAAACAAATAATAAAAAAACACTCTACTCATTAAATTACGACCTTTTTTGTTTAATTTAAATAAAAACTGAATGCTAACTAAATTGTTTTATATTCCATAGAACCTCTTTTTTTTATTCTTTTTAAGCTTATTGATTTAGGTATCTTCCAATTTTTTGTTAAATTTAATTTACTTAACGTCTTCAGTACTTCTCAGTGCCCCCTTGTGTGTCTATCTATCCATCTGGCTAAATATACCCGACTAACCGCCACATAGCTGGCCCTAATAAATTTATAAAGCTTGATATTATCGCGGCACCGTAATCGTAACTCACTCCCCTCGTCCCGCCGATGGAGTTCGAGTTCCCGATGAAGCGGATGAGGCGGTGGCATCATTTGCATTTGAAGCAGAAACGATGCCACACGCACCAAACGTAGAGCAGGAATAGGCATAGTATCATAGAGGAATCGTTATGGGCATCATAATGACGATGTTCAATTGCAGCTCACGATAAAAGGCATTCCCAGATCGATTCTAATTTCGAAGCGCTGAGGTGTGAAAATACCTACATCGCAGCAGCGGATTGATGGGGGCGCTGAAAACGTGGATTCCGGGATGCCCACTCCATTCATCGGTCCAAATGTCTGCAGAGCCACCCGTTGGATGCTGCCGAGTCTGGCTGTCATTAGCGGTATTCAAATCATAACATAAATACACTTGTCGTCTGTCGAGAGCTCTTTCCACCCCTTTTCTCTTTCCCCTCTCCCCTTTCCATTCCAAGAGGATTATGACAGGGCCAAAAGGGGAGTTTGTCTGTCTATCTGGCTGTGTGTAGCTATGCCTCTGCCTTCTGGCACCGGCAACTTGTTGGCTGCATTTCATTTTGATAACTTGTCAAAATAGTCTGGAGCTCGAGTGGCATGATAAATGCGGCCAGACAGCGCGAAAGCCACTGACAAAGTGTTGAATGCCTGCGCCACTTTATTATTGCCATTAAGTGTGTGCCTCCCTTTGGGTTGGCCTTGCCCTCCCCCTGCCCCCGCCCTGCCACCGCCCTGCCAGTTGGCTTTATGACCCAGCTGGGTGGTTGCATATGCAACTTTGGTGGCATAAACTTGTCAGGCAATGTCATAAAACCACCCACCC